GATCACACTAAGCACATCATAGACGTGAATTTAAAGGGCTATTTACAGGCTTGAGTTGATATAGCTTCTGACAGTATGACATATTTAAATACCCTATTTAATTTTCCTGAAAAAGCAACAAGTTATGTCATGGATTATTATTATCAAACATGTTTTGTATTGCATGCAGCATTACTGTTTCACTTGGCAATCCCGTGTATTGAAGGTTAAGATGCCTTTCCCACATGAGCCTCCTTTCCTTTTCTACCAGTAATACTTTTCATCCTTTTGTGAATACCGTTTTCATGATTGTAACACTAATCTAGGAAACCTTTGTTTAAAAAACAGGGCTGGTTTGAAAACACTAATATGAATCAGACAGTAACACGGCTTGCTAAAAGAATTCTCATTCTATGGTCAGTTTTAAATGCTCATAAATAAAGACTGGATCGCCACATCCTGCAAGCCCTTCTATTTCATTCAGTGAACATCATAGTAGCTGTTTGACTACACAGCAATGTTGGCAGGAGCAGTGCTTGAGTGCACCTTTCCCACTACTCAGCGCTTGGATGGTTCTTGACCATTCACAGAACTGCCTGCAGTCCCTTATTTAGAAACAGATGTCCTAAATGAAAAGGATGATTAGAACAATGTTAATGGTTCAACTGCTAATCACAAATTTCTGGCTGTATTTTGAAGTTTGGTCAAATATTTTTTGTATGCATAAAGAAAGGCAAATTTCTAGATTGTTGGTACACAAGTGATTATACAGTGTGATAAAATGGTATGTTATTTTGTCTTGAAAGATGTCAGTTCCTTAGAGTAACAACTTCCCTCAAAGCTACTTAAGTGAAAGATTTGTAAATTATTTTAAGAGTTTTTCCCTGTGTATTTGTGGGGGTGTGTGTGTGTAGATGTGTATGTACACCCATCTGCATCTGTAGAAAAATTCTAAAACCAATGCAGCTGTACTTGTGCATAATTTATTTCAGGTCTGCTGAATTTTCTAAGTTTTCTTAAAAAGCTGTTTTGTTTTTTTTTTAATATTTGCCTGGCCTTCAGGAAAGGAGCCCCTTGGGAAATCAATGTAAAATTCTCATAGAATTTTCTCCATGTGTATATACAAGGATGAACAAAAACTATCCCAGAAAATGCCTGCTTCTGCTAAATAACAGTTAATATCATTGCTTGACATTTATTTTAATATTTTTCATATTTTTAATAGTACTTCTTGTTGGTTGCTTTATTGGCATTAATTTAAGAAAACTTCATTTGTGAAAGTTTCTGTCATCTTAGAAAGCACAGCAGAAATATAACATAATCAGCATCTGGACAAACTGGTTTCAGCTGTTGTATATTTTCATATCTGGAGGTAATGTCTTTTTCCATTTCCCCTCCTTCCCCAGTATGTGTCATGAATTTACAGATATATCTTTGTTTTACTATTCATCAGATTAACATTTCCATTCTCTTCTTTTCTGAAACTTTGATTCCGCTTATTGCCTTAGAAAGTCCTTCTCTCTTTCAATACTTCTGTCTACTACAGGTCTCTATGATAGTTTTTACTTTCTTTCTCTCATTTACCAGCTTTCATTTGTCCTTTGTTCATCCACATCATTCCAATGAAATTGTTCATATTTAAAGCCTTAGTGGCCTCTTCCTGGTCAGAAACAGTATCATATATTTATATATATAGCTATATATAAATAACTATATTAAGGTGTCAGTTTGTGTCAGGAGTATGGTTTTGAAGTGAATCTTTCCTTAAAACCTGGTTACTGCATTTTGGTTCACTTCACGGAGCAGCCTAGGAACAATCCCAACAGGTCGTGGGTGTTTAATCCACAGGACCAGACCAGGATGTCAGATCTTCAGTGCTGGCTCTCAGTCTACAGAAGCATTTCTGCTGGTGCACGCTGCTTCCTAACGCAGATGTGACCTCTGCTGCCTTGACATCTGATGCTTCCTTGGCTTTGTTGCTCCTTCCCTCACTCCTTCAGTCTTACCTGTTTCCCTATCTGGAATTCAGTTCACCCACAACCTGAACCCAGGTTCACCCATGTTCAGCCTCTATTCAGCCTTGCTTGTACCCAAGATTTCCAGATGGGTGCGACAGAAACTGATCCTGTCTCCACTTTGATTGTCACAGCTTCTTGTGTTGTGTTACTGCCAGAATACTTTCCTTGTGAAGTATATCTGTTTATGGTCTTTCCTGTTCTGTGTAGAGACTGAATGCCATTCTTCCCTTTTGAAGCACTCCACACCGTTGCACCTGTCCAGATATCCTCATTCTAACCTAATATTTTTTTGTAAGCCACTTTTCACTGAGAACACCATCTGACCATTTCATCAACTGCTGCCTCTGCAACTGTTCACGTCATATCTTGTGTGTGTAGTAGTAGCACAGCTGAAGTGTAGCAGGATCTCTCTTTGTTTCAGAAAATTCTGAGAAATCTAACTGGAAGAGCTTCCTTCTTCAGTGAACATACTGCATATTGCTTCAGTTGTACAGGAAGTACTACTGCGTATTTTTGCTTAGTAGCTTGTCCACATTGAAAAATGCCATCTTCTTGCAGTGTGTTTTATGTATGTACTAAACAACGGTAGACATTGGATTTTTGTGTCAAAATCGGGTTGGCTTTTTTAAGTGTCCTTGTGTGTATGTTCATGTAACTATGTTAAGGAAAGTCCATACAAACGTGCATGTATGTTAAAATGGTGTTTCTAGCAACTTCACTGGTAAGGTAATTTTGGAAGTTGGATCTGTGCTTAAAGAACTAACATGCTTCAGTAGACTGTAAGATTATTTAGACTTGTTTTAGTATAGCACTTAATGTTATGGAAAACTTGCCTCTTACGGCTGTCACACATGCAAACAAATGCTTCTGTGTTAAAGCTTGTTTTCTGGTAAAAGCTCAGCTGTGATACAGCAGAAATACCTGGTCTTTCTGAGCTACATGCACTTACAGGATTGGCTAGTACTAGCTGCATTTCTATTTGCCTGTTGGACAAGTAGTACTTTCTGTACATTACCCAGCCTTACAGCACTGAATCCCAAGTTTTTTCCAAGTGACTCATTTCTGGCTACAAATTCTGTTTCTGCTGATTAATTACCTTCTGTTTGCTAATGCCATTTCATGTCTCTGGTTTGTAAGGTTTTCTGGGGCAGGGCTCTTTTTCTGATAAGAAGCAGTGCTAGGTCTATACGGTTGCCAGCAATATGTATTCACTATGCTGCAAGACACAAAGTATGCCTGTCTCAAAGCACACAACTTGAAATCTTGGAACATAGCCTTTATATCCAATTCAGGCAATGAATATGCCTGCAGAATAGAAAGTGAAATCTGGCATCTGAGGAGCAGCCATTCAACAATATTTTGGGGGCTTTTTAAGTCTCCTTTATATCCAGGTGTATGCTTGCAAATACCAATGCAGAAGTCACTTACCCCTCCCCAGTGAAAGCACGCACACACAAAAACCATGCAGTTTTTGTTACTTAAACTGAAGACAGGTGGTTCTTTTCTTTGGTTTTGCTAATTGCCCTGGAAGAATGCTCAGAAAATACTTAACATGGTAATCTAGTCAGAGGAAGAATGAAAGGGGTCACCTGTTGTCATGTATGTTTTAGCTGTCTGTTTAGGGTATGTTTCAAGCTGGGTTTGTGGGGTTTTTTTAGCAACATCTGTTCCAGCTCCCATTCCCTCCTCACAAGAATGCATGTGTGTGTGTGTGTATGTGTGTATAGAGAGGATGTTGAAGGTGTGTTAAGCCATTTGTTCAAACTGACTTTGCAGCTGTGTTGAAATTTGAAAGGCAATGCCAACTTTTAAAAGAAGAAAATGTCAAAAGCAACAGAAAGCAAAAATGCCACACTTAGATTTTTGGGGGATGTTTAATTAATACTCATTAGGGTTCTTACTTTCAAAAACCTCTAAGGAAAAAGGTCATTAATATAGGAGATGTAAATAATTTTACTGAATGTTAATGAAAAAAATAACTTTCAGTATTGTGTTAAAGCTTAGTTAATGCCATTTTAAAGAAAAAGTATTAACTTAAAATTACTGAATATTGACCTGTTAATGACAGCTTGTTACTAGCAGTTGTTATCTCCTGTCCATGCTGGGGATGGTATTTGATGGTGTTCGATGATTTGCATAGAAGAGGAATTTTATAGTATTCTTTAAGGAGACCTTAGTGTTAGAGGCTACCTAAGAGGGATCAGGCAAGTAATGATGGAAGACCATATGGATATCTGTCATGAGTTAGTCCTCTGTGAATTCTTTTCTGTGCGTATTTAACAGTAGAAAGTTTGATACGTATTGCTTCAAGTATGTTGCTTCATTCTGTTCTTAGGATTTTGCTTTTGAAGCTACAGATTTCTTTCCCCCCCGCCCCCCTTTATGGCATCCGGATTTAGTTACTGGATACTGCCTCATCCATAAAAAAGAGGAAGTACAGGATTTGGAATAATGCAAATGTACTGCTGTAGGAAAATCAAAACATACATGAATTATTGTTTTAATCTTGTCTGCTAAGTGTACACACAGTTTTGTAGACCAGGTGATTCATAGCTTTGCTGATACCTCTGTGAGTTTTTTTGTTTTGATTTCCATCTAAAAAGCTTAATTAAAAAAAAAATCTACAAACTGGTCAAGCAGAATTGCAGAAGAAACATGGAAGAATCCAGCCAGACAGAAGCTTTCTCACTGTAGCCTATAGTTGAACAACTCCTCACAAATCTATAAATTTTGTTTAAAAATATATATTCCTCTAGGTTGACCAGATTTTATACCGTTTATGTTAGTTTTATTCTTGCACACTTGTGTACATTTGTTCTCGATGCCACACATTACCA